ACATTCCATAACAATGAAAGAATCAATTCGTTAAAGAGACATCAAACCCTAACATTATATATACTTAATAACAGAGTTTCAAAATTCATGAAACAAAAAATAACTAAAAACGTAAATTAATAAGTTAATAAAATTACAATCATAGTTGGTACTTCCATACTTCTCTTCAGTAATTAATAAAAATAACTAGACAAAATATCAGTAGGAATATAGAAGACTTGAACAATACTATCAAATAACTTGACATAACTGACATTTATAGAATAACACACGTAAAAATTACAGAATTTTTTTTCAAGAGCATGTGGGTCATTCACTAAAATAGACTCCCCTATAAAACATACTGTACTATGAACAATTATCAATAAATTAAAGGTATTGAAATCATAGTGTATGTTTTCTGAGCACAAAATAGACAGAATTAAAAATCAATACCAAGGGGTTGGGGTTGTAGCTCAGTGGCGGAGTGCTTTCCTAGCACATGTGAGGTACTGGGTTCAATCCTCAGCACCACATAAAAATGCATAAGTAAAATAAAGGTATTATGTCCACCTATAAATAATTTTTTTTAAAAAAATCAATACCAATATCTGTTACATGTCCAAATATTTGGAAATTCATATAGTTTTGAATAATCTATGAGAGATAAAGGAAGCACATAGAATATTAGAAAACAATTGGAATTGAATAATAATGGAAATGCAACTCATTAAATCATTAGTACATAATAAAAGTGGGATTGAATACACCAAAACTTTGAGATTTTAATGCGAACATTTAGAAGAGAAGTCTAAAGCCAATGATCTAAGATTCCATCTTAAGTGGCTAGAGAAAGCAGAGGAAATGAACTTAATGGTAAGAAGGAAATAATATAAGTGTGGAAATAAGTTAAATTTAAAATGGACAGATAATAGAGAAAATCAGTGGAACCGAAACATGGCTCTTTGAAAACAGCAATAAAATTAAAAACTTCTAGTTAAATTGGTCTCTCTCACACACATAAAACTCACACCCTAACCAACATGTATGAAAGATGACTCATTTCTAAAGATATTACACACATTAAAAGAATAAAGGAAACATTGCAAACAATTTTGTGGCAACCAACTTGAAAATGTAGATGAACTGGACAAGCTCCTTGAAAGATATAAAATATAAAAACTGACTGGGGTTGGGGATAGAAAATCTGGGTAATTTGCTATTTTGGAAATTCTAATTAGTTAATAGTTTTTAACACTTCTGATAAAGAAAATCCCTGAACAAGGCAAGGTCATTGGGGACTTCTAACAAATCCTTAAAAATAATCATTCATAAGCATGCATTAATTCTTTCAGAAAGGAGAATACTTCTCCTCTATGAAGCCAGTATAAACCTAGCAATCAAACTTGAGAAAGATATGATAGGAAAAGAAAAACTCCAGACTAATGTACTTCATTACTTTGGTGTTTAAATCTCCAATAATACTTTAGCAAATTAGGTTCAACAATATATAACCAAAGGGGTTTACTCCAGGAATGCAAGTTTGGCTTTATTTTTTTTCAAAATCAATCAGGGCAGCTGGTGCAGCTGTAATCCCAGCCACTCAAGAGGCTGAGACAGGATGATCACTCTATTCCAGGAGTTTGAAGCCAGCATAGGCAACAGAGCAAGCCTCCCCCCATCCCGCCCCCCCCCCAGCCCCCTCTCTCTCTCTCTCAAAAAAGGTGCACTCTAAAATAAATCAATGTGATTCACTATCTTATCAAAATAAAAAAGAAAAATCCATGTAATCACCTCAACAGATATAAAGAATATACATATGACAAAATTCATTATTCACTCATGAAAAGGAAAAAACCTCACCAAACTTGATTTATAAAAGAAAGTCTCAACCTAGTAAAGTTCATCTGTGGAAAATCTACACTAATATATCACACATAGGATGAATGTTTAAGAATTTTGGTAAAACTGTACTAATTAAGGTAAGTGTGGTGTCAGGATAGATGTATATTTCAGCGTATATAGAGTCTGAAATGCACATCAAAATAGAAGTCCAGAAACATACCTACGTTTATACAGTTACTTGATTTTTGACAAAGGTGCTAAGGTTATTTGATGAGGAAAATAAATCTTGACAGCAAATGGCTCCGGAACATTTAAACATCCATATGGAACAAATGAATCTCAATCCTATGTCTCACCTTGCACAAAAATTAGCTTGAATGGGTTAATAGACCTGATTATAAAGTACAAAATAATAAAATTTCTGAAAGTAAATAGGGGAGAAAGTTTCTGTGATCTTGGAGTAGGCAAACGTGTGTTACATAAGATATAAAAACATTATTTAATAATAATTTTTCTTTATCAAAATTGAGAAACTCCTGCTCTCTGAAATATGCTGTTACAATAAAAAGTCAGGGCACAAAATGGAAAGAAACATTTTTTTAACATTTTTTTTCTTAGTTGCAGTTGGACAGAATACCTTTATTTTATTTATTTATTTTTATGTGGTGCTGAGGATCGAACCCAGAGTCTTGCACGTGCCAGGCCAGTGCTCTACCACTGAGCCACAACCCTATCCCGAAAGAAATATTCTTACCATACATCTTAAAAAAGACTTGTGTAATATCTTGCAAAAGCTCAAGAAGAAGATAACCCAATTTTAAAATGGACAAAAGATTTAAATAGACATTTCACAGACTAAGAAACACATGAAAGAATGTTCAACATTATTAGTCATTAGGAAAATATAAATTCCAACAGCAGTAAGACACCACTAAATACCCACTAAAATGGGCTAAATTTTAAAAAGTTGAAAATACTGAGTTTTGGTGGAGTATTTAGAATGTTCATACATTGCTGGAGGAAGTGTAAAATGCTTTAATTTACTTTCCAAACAGTTTTTTCTAATGTTAAACATTCATCTACTATGAAACCCAGAGATTGCACACCAACATATTTACCCAAGAAAAGGAAAACATATATTCCTACCAAGACTTGTATGCAAATGTTTATAGTAACTTTATTCATAATAGCTGAAAACTGGAAACAGCCCTAAACAAAAGAGAAGTGAAAAAACAAATTGTGGTATATCCATGTAACACAATGGTATTTAGTAATAAAGAGGATGAACTGTAAGTCCATGCAACAGTATGGATGAATTTTGAACATATAATACTAGGCACAAGAAGCCAGACGCAACAGAACACATGCTGTATAATTCTATTTATGTGAAATATAAGTAGTGACAAAAAGCAGATTGGTCATTGCCTGGGGCTGGGGGTCAAAGGGCAGATTAGGCAGGGGCATGTGGGAGCATTCCTAAAGGTGGGGCTCTGGGGTAGGAATTTATCTTCTTCACAGGGTGTGGTTGCATGGTTGTATACATTTGTCAAAATGCATCAGTGTCTACTTAAAATGGGTGCATTTTATTGTGTATAAATTATGCCTCAATACATTGGGATTAAAAAGGGAAAAGGATGAAAATATTTTTCTGCCATTGGGGGTAAAGAAGGTTTTTTTTTTTTCTTTTTTGAATAAGATATAAAAATGACAAACCACAAAGGAAAAGGAGAATTCTGCTACATTAAAATTCAAAACTTACGCATATCAAAAGATACCAACTTCAATGTTAAAAAACAACCACAGATTGGGAGAAGATATTTGCAATGCTATATAACTGAAATAAAGATTAGTATCCAGAATATCTCACAAGCTATTACAAATCAATAAGAAGGCTGCAATCTAGTGGGGGGAAAAATGGCCAGAGTCTCATTAGGCAAATTATAGGTGAAAAAAACTAAATAGCCCATAAACACGTAAAAACATGTCCAAGCTCACTATCAAATATACAAATACAAATAACAATGACAAACTCTGATGGCCTGATAACACACACTGTTGGTAATGTGGAACGGTGACAATGGGTACAATTCTGTATTTCTTCTGGGATGGCATTTTAATAAAACCGTTTGAAGAGGAATTTGGTAAGAGCTAAGGAAGTTGAAGTATGTACCAGATAGTTCCTCATTTAGCTATATACGCCCCCCATCCTCAAAGTAGGTGCCAGGAGTTATTAAAATGTGTTGAATACTGCATTGTTTATTAGCCCCAAATTGGGAACATCTTTCTATTAACTGAGCAATGATAAATAAAATGTAGTATAGTCATGTAATGGAAAACGATTCAATAATTAACTGAATAAACTAAATGGATACAACCAACTATGATGGAAGACTTGATGGCTTAGCAAGATCCTGTCTCAAAATTAAAAAATAAAAAGGTCCAGGTATGTAGTTCAGTGGTAGCATGCTTGCCTAGCATGTGCAAAGCCCTGGGTTTAATTCCCAGTAACACACACACACACACACACACACACACAAACACAATTTTTTTTTCAGAAAAAATTACACTTATGTTAAACACGCACGGACATTTTCTTGTCATTATTCCCTAAAGAATATAGAACAACTATTTGCATGGAGCATCTACATTGTATTAGGTATTATAAGTAATCTAGAGGTGCCAAGAGGGTACATACAAACATTATGCTATTTGATGTGAAGGACTTGAGTATCCTCAGATTTTAGTACCTATAAGTGTGTGTGTGTGTGTGTGTGGTGTGTGTGTGTGTAGATACAGATATATAGATATGTCATCTACAGGGATATAGAAAGGGATAGATATAGATCTATCAATAGATAGTCTGATCTATAGATCTACATCTCTATATTCATTTCGGGGGGATTGGTTTCAGGATCCCTGTGGACACACACATGCGTGTGTGGGTGTTAGAGAGAGGGAGCTATGGAAGGACATATACTGCTGAGAAGGACGGTGTGTGCCAGGACCCTAAGAAGGGGCTCCACTATCTATAGCCCCCAAGAAGAGGGCAGTGTTGGGAAGAGGAGGCTGTGGGGGAGTTTCCCAGACCCTGGACGCCTCAGCACAGACCCATTCCGACTCTCCATGAGCAAGGCAGCTCTTTTGAACGCGTGGGCTGCCGCCGCCCAGCACCTTACCCGTGGCAATGAGCTGGAACAAGCGCTCGCGAGCCCTGCGATCCCGCACCTGAGCGCTGCGGAATGCCAGATGAGCCAGTCCAGAGGCCTCCAGGGCGGCTCTGTATCGCAACCCGCCTGCGTTTTTCTTCTCTGCTACCATCCCACTTACTTCGGATCCACAGACTTGCTTTGAGGTTTGGCACTTTCACATTTTTAATATAAACTCGAATTCTTAAGACACCAGCATCAAATCCTAATAAAAAAAAAAAAAATATCTGCTTTTCTAATTTTTCCAACTGCCCTTTGTCTCCATAAAGAACAGGTGTATGGGTAGCTTGTAGATGGAAACCTTTTTCCTAAAGAGAGATCTGCTTTCTCTTTCCCCTTATTCTAACCTCAATAATCCCAAATCGGTTTAGGGTTGGAGTCTGCTGTGATTTTTACACTCCTGTCTTCCAGGCTGCCTTGTGGGGAGGTGGGCTTTGATGCGCCTGAGGCTTGTCTCTGGCTATGGCCCTTCCTGGGTCCTGCTTTGCTTGGAGGAATTTAAAAAGCCTCAGTATCTTGAGCTGGACAGAATCTGCCCCTTTTGTACTGATCCCAGAAAACTGTGGAGAAATGGGAACCACTTCCCTCCCTTCCCAAGAGAGCCCCTTGTACTCTCTGTGTTCCCTAGCCAGGACTGCCCTTGAGACCCGCCCCTGTGGACCTCATGAATGGGCTGTATGCCCCTGGCCTTTAGCTGGGTGCAGCCCTGGGGATTCTCCAGTCCAAGGTGAGAATAAGAAAGCTGTGCTCCTGCAGTGCCACCTTCATCCAAGGTCACTGCCCAGGGGGCCTATCACACAGCCTTTGTTTTCTTTCATGCTGGCCACCAGATTCTTGTGACAATATCCTAAAATTGAAATAGACATGTATTTCCTTAGCAATCTCTGTCTTCCTCTCTGCCTCCTTCTACTCATTCATCTGTAGCATCTATTTATGCTGCAGCAGCTATGTTTTAAGCCCTGAAAGATTAGGAGGAGGTGTTGAATGTGATCCCTTCCTTGGAAGAGAAGTGCAGGTATAGAACTTTGAGGGCCAATGGGGGAGGAGGAGGGGGAGGAGGAGGAGGAGGAGGAGGAGGAGGAGGAGGATGGTTTCTGACCATTTGAAAGCTGGCTTCCCAGGCGTGATTGCAAATTGACTTTCCTTGGTAAGATCTGTCACCCTGCACTAAGCACTTGCCTCAGAGGAGGCCTGTGCTAAGCACCTCAGGATTGGGAACAGGTGTACAAGTTGGGGCACACCTCTTTACTGACATTTTGAAGATTCCAGATTCTTGGGAGGAGGCCAGATGAGTGGGAGTCAACACTGTGACGAATCAGTTCTTGATAGAGATTCAAAGTGGTAGGAGGTTACCACTTGCTGGTGGCCTGACAGTGGCCATTTTTGTTTCCGCAGAGGCCGAGGGACCCAGTCTACACTGAGAACCCATGAGTGGGCCCAGGAGTGATATTTTTTACATGACAAATATATACAAACTTTATTCATGGAATAAATCTTAATAAAGCTGGGATAGGGAGTAATCGGGCATTATCTAGAAGAGTTGAACACGCATATGCCCTTTGATCTAAGAATCATCCAGCATCTCCAGGGTTTGCTCTTGCCACCCAGGACTGACGAGTACTGGCTGCCTTTGTGATCTTGGCCAATTTTTCTCTTCTATTAAAACAACAATAAAGCCCATAATCACAATCCAGTTTAGCAGCACATTTTCATCAAACATTGCTGTCCTTGCCTCTGTGGCTTGAGAGTCCCTGCCCCGCTTCCTTCCTGCTGAAGTGGGCTGGAGAGAAACTTCCTAAGCAGGGGAAGTGACATAACTGGACTCTGAGACAAGGTGGAGATTGAAGAGGTGGCAGGGAAGGATGACAACCGTAAAGATGATGCCCAACCAATATTAGCAGTGTCCCGCGCCCTGTGCTAAGGGTGTCACACATACAATCTCACTCGGTGCCTGCCTGAACCCTGTGGTGTAGCACGGTCAATCCTATTTTCAGGTGAGAAGACTGAGGGGAAAACAGGTAGATAACTGACCGTTGGTGGCTCTGGAATGTGTATTCTTTGCCATGTTGTCCAACTGACTTGAGAGAAAATGTTGAACAGAGGTACCCACTGGGGCGGGGGTGAGGGCAGTCTGGGGGTGCCACAGCACAGGGCAGATTTGGGAGGGGCAGGAGGCAGTCAGGTCTAACAAGCCTGTATGTGTGTGGGAAGGTGTTGAGCACTGGGGGAGCCCTGTGGAGAGGGCTTCCTGGGCCCAGCTAAGGGGTCAGGGCTGTGGGGGAAGGGAGCAGGAGGTGGGGGAGAGCCCAGGAGGGAGGCCCAGCTGCTGTGGTGCTTCGGGCGGAAGCCACCCTCCCACCAGCCCTTTTTCATTCACATAAAGCTGGGTTTGTTTCCATTTATCTGCTTGACTTTTCAGCCAAGATGCTGTTAGAAAAACATATTGCTCTAATTTAATCCACATGTGCATCCCCGGGACAGAGTCTAAAAGGAAACTTAGGTCCTGAGTCCCAGATCTAGCATCTCAGTACCATGGATATGGCAGGGAAGGACTCTGCACGCCCCCCCCCCCCCAGGGATGCTGACTACCTTTCAGGGTCCTCCCTGAAGCCACTGACAACCCCCCACCCCAGCCTCTGCCATGCCCTGGACATGGAGGTAGGAGGGTGGGGGAGGGGAAGGAAATAGGTGAGAACTGCCCCAGCCCCTACCCACAGCCAGGAGGGTATTCAGAGGAGAAGGTCAGTGGGCACAGGGGGCGGGGGTGGGGTCAGTGCACAAAGGGGGCTGACTTCTAATCAATTCCATCCTCAGAGTCAAGGTCTTAACTCTGGGGCATGCAGTGGTGACATAAGCAATTTGTCCAGTCACGTGGGGAGAGGCTGTCTGCAGGATCAAAGCCATGGATGACCTAGGGCCAGGGCTCTGAGGTGGCACAAGACCACATACAATCTCATTCCCACTCCTGGCTGCGTGTGGAAAGAAGTTTAGGAAGCTGGTCTTGCAGCATGTTTCATTGGTCAAAAGCCAGCAGGGAACAGTCGGTGTGCTCTTTCAAGACTGTCTTCTAATTTGGCTCCTGTCATGTAACTTATTTTGAATTTAATTATGTTATTTAGAGGAAGCAGTTGCTTAAAAATGAGAAAAACTGAAAGGACCTATCTCACAAGACATTTATTCGTGACTGAGCTGGAGACACACACTAAAGGACTTAACCAAAAGGTCTGATTTTGATTCAAGATCTGGGGTCCTTTTGGTGGCTTCTGAGTCATGATTCTGGTGAATTAACCCAGGCAGAAATGATGATCCTCCTTTCCCAAGTTTGCCACCTCCAGGGTTGCTCTCTCTATTCCAAAACTCCTCAGCAAATCCATGTTAGAACCCCCAGGGTATGAAGAAATTGATACTTGAGTCAGCACAGGAATTCATATACAAGCAGTTTATATCTGAGACCCTCAAGGGGGACCTACAGGGACCCCTCTGTCCCTCATGACTTTCAAGAATTGAGCCCACAGACCCCTCAGCTGGACACAGTCAGAAACAGCTTTCATAATGCTTTTAGGTGGTGTCTCAAAGGATGTTGTTGGAAAGAAGGGATCTGGGCAGTTTATAGGGCTTTTGATTTGAACTAAAATGCATTTCTAGTAGAACTGACAAATGAGAGTTAGGGGTGCAAAGTCCTGGGTTCAGTCCCCATCAAGGCACCAAAAAAAAAAAAAGGGAAAAAGAAAAAGGAAATTAAAATAGTAAAAATAATATCTGAGAATAATGTTGGAGTGGGATGAATTTTCATTTGCTGCCTAAGTCAGAGAACAGTCCTTGTCACATCTGTGCCTAGGCAGTATTCTTGGTGTTGCTCTGCCAAAGACAGAGGAGAGGACTCTCTGGACTTCTCTTACGTGAAGTTTTAGAATCTTCCAGGTTGCCAGGACTCCCCTTTATCTAAAGTCAGGGGCTCAGCTATGCACCAGGATGCAGCTCTCTGGAGTTTCCTCCAGACTGGGAAGAACCTGGGAGCCCTGAGGCATGGCCAGCACTCTCTGGTGCCCTCCACAGGTGGGCAAGAAAGGCCGTTCTTGCAAGGACTGGCATCCAAACAGGTTTGAGCAGTTCTGATTCTATGGGGATAGGTCAGTCAAGCTCCCTGCCAAGGTTTTGGTGAACCCCACATGAAGAAGCGAGTAGGCAATTATACATCATTTACAAAGAACCCAGGGTCAGCAAGCAGGCAGATAATGGAGAGCTGGAAAACTAGATTCACAGCTATCCATCCCTGACCTATGGATCCCCAAATAAAGGCCAAGAATGCTGCAGCTCCTGATGCTGGAGGAAGGAATGGGAAGCCTGGGTAAGGAGGGCCCCAGCAGCAGATACCAGCTGCTACACACAGGCTCCAGAAAGGAAATCTGGCCCCGGGAGTTACAGCACCTCCTTAGTTGGGCTGGGCCTACATTTGGGTTTATCAGATTGGTCATTTCAAGTTCCAGTGACCAATTACAATGAAACCGCCATTCCACATTAACCAAGTTGATCAGGGCAGCACAAACACGTGCCAGATCCCTGGCTCACAAGCATGAAGGTTAACGACAGCTGCCTGTGTTCCTCTGATGGAAACTTTCTTCTGGTTTAACAAGAATTTGATCTGATTCTTTTTTTCCACCAAGGGCTGGTTCTCTATAGACACCGCTCTGTATAGTAACCCTGTAATCTTAGGGTTTAATCCAAACATATTCCAACAACCTATTCTGGTACTCCAAATGAATGTTTATTTTAAAACAATTTGCTATGGCTTGTTTTTTTTTTTTTTTTTTTTGAGGGAGAGAGAGAAGGGAATTTCTTGGAGCCAGATTTTTCCTAAGCAGGTCTCTCCACTCGAAAGACTTGTGTCAGATGCTCAAGTCGTAATTAACCACAGAGCTGTTTGGGAGATGGGAGAGGGCATTTGACAAAGAGTTAACAGATGTCATTTCGGTGGCTGCTGGCCCACTGCTGCTGGGTCATTTGTTGGATGGAAGCCGATTCTGCTGCTGTCGTAAACAGAGAGTAGTAATAATTACATGCAGGCTGCATTAGGCATAACAGATTGGATATATAACATTCTGTTAAAACCCAGCTCATATCCTGTTTCTCTGGAGATACAATGGAGACGACCCCTACCTCCTAGTTTTGAAGTCGCCTCCAAGGATCCTCACAGACTTTCCAGGAGGGAAATAGGTCATGTTCTTTCATGGCTCATTCTGCCGAGGACCCAGGGATGGCACAGAGCTCTGCTCAAAAGCGACTGGGGCACGCACTTCACTCAGCCAGCCCCGCACCGCACTACTGAGCTGCCTTTTTCCATTTGAAAAATGAAAGAATTAAATTCAAAACAAACAACTTCAATTTAACACCAAACTACAGGATAACCAATCTTAAAAATGTCACAGCGTAATGGATCTTAATACCCACAGAAAACACAAAAACAGCACCATTGTTCCCCAGCCATGCAGAGCAACCTCGCAGAATCTCAGTGAAGGAGAAAGAAGGGGAAAAACACCTTATTACTTCCAACCCCTGCGAGCCATTTTGGTCTCCAAAGGTTTTAGGCTGCCCGAGGCCGTGTGTCTGCAGTGTTTCGGGAAATGACTTGCCTTTGCACGATCTCGGCTCTGTTCTGCAGCGAGCCTGCTTGCCCCGGAGCAGCGCCGCTCCATTTCTGGTTAACTCTTCCTTCCCAGGCCTGCCGCTTGCAGGAGCAGGACCGACAGGGCCCAGGGACGTGGAGGACACTGCATACTGCAGCCCGGCCTCCTGCGGGGCGGCCAGGATTGTCATCTCTAGGAGCGATCAGCTTCTCAAAGGAGGTAGCCCCTGCAGACCAGCCGGCTGGCTATCCTCACTGCTCTTTGGAGAATCTATTCTCCAAAGGAACTAACTACAAGGCAACTGTCATCAAAACATACAATGCGGCTGAAGCCAGGGGACACAAGTGAGGCTTTGTGGGCCAAGACGGTGCAACCCACCCTTTTGGGGTTCCCAGCAGGGGACAGCTCTTGTCTATGTCACCCCAGGCAAGGACACTCTCCTGGTCAGTAGGGTGTAAGCAGGGTCCAGCCTGCTACCAGGGCATAGCCTGCTACCAGGGTGTGACTTGGGCCTGAGGATTTTTACTTCCCCAGTGGCAATGACTGAGGGAGACCCAGCGACAGAAACGTGTTTGCAAGGCACCTCGGAGCTGGGAGACGACAGAAAACCACTTAGCACTTAAGAGGTTAATACAATTCCTAAGTGTTCAGCAATCACTGCAATTTAGTGCCATTTCGATTATTACACAATAAACAGACCATGTTGTCTCGAAGCAAATTTTTATGAGTATAGCTGAAGGGGCTGCAACTTATTTAGCTGCCGAAACTCAGAGGGAAAGAGCATTTCTGAATGCTAACACCACGGATCAGAAATACAGGTAGCAGAGAGAGGTTATTCTCAGGTCACCGCTCTGGCAACTCAACACCATGACCTTTAAAATGAGTATGTCGTTAGGCGGAAATAAAGTTCACCAAAGTGTTCTTTACACTGAACCATTTTAATAACAATATTGTTGAGTTCAGAGTGAAAGATTTGGGAATTTCCAGAAACATGTTATGCTCAGGAAAGAACATCATGTTAACATGGGCTGGGAATTCGTGAACCATTTTGGCTATCTTGAATATGCATTGAAAATACACACACACACACACACACACACACACACCAGTCCCTTCTTATACATGGAGCACCACTGTATTATACAGGTGCTTGGGTGCGATGATTGCAAACCAGATCAAATTGCTAACATAATAAGAAAAATCAAACATTTAAACTGGAGAACCAGAAGTGAGGAGATGCTGTAACTCTCAAAACCTGTGCAGAATCTCACTGTACACTGATTTCTAAGAGGCTCTTTTTTCCTCCAAGGCTCACACAGTTTTAGATTCAGGGATGTGAGCTTCACCCCAGTTCCACCAATAGAGGAAGAAAATCTCTGCAGATATACTTCAGGATTCAAGGTTAAAATGTGCACATGTGCATAGAACCTTTATGTCTATACATTTTAAGGCTTGCAAAGAGTCCCCCAATTTTATGAGATATCTGTAGTGACCAAGCAGATCTCTGCTAAGTAGGATAAAGAGGTTATTATTTTTATTACCATTTTACAGATCAGATAACTTTTACTCCATACCTGTTATGTGCCAGGAACCCCTCCAAGAAGGCATGAAGTAGGAGAAAGTGCATCTAGGCCGCCTTCTTGGGGAAATTTGATAGTTCTGTAGCTAGCCCTCATGCACATACGCAGACTCAGGAAGATGGGGCCCTTTCCTCTCTAGGATCCCGAGGACCCACACATTTAGAAGTAGGCAGCGAGGGGGCAGAGCAATGCTACAAAGGTGCTCTGTGATATCAGGACATGAGCAAGCCTGCTGAAAGAGATGGGTTGGGGACAATAGAAACACAATCTCCATCAAGTGGCAAGGCGGGCACCTCATGTAAAGGGGACAGGGATAGATCCTGGGGCTGCTCTGACTGGTACATAGAGCAGAAAGGAGGTCACAGCTACTAAGACCAGGTCGGAATTTCCACCCCACCTCCAGTAGAGCTGCCTGCCTGACTCCTGAAGTCCTATCTTTAAAGAGAAATGGTCTCATACTGTGTGACACGTGCAAATATATAACAAGGAATTCCACTATTATGTATATTTATAACACGCTACATGGGAATTCACTAGACTCTCCCGAGATGCCTAGCATAAATGCACATTTCTGTGTGAGTAGATCTGGGATGGAACCCAGGGACCCAAATGAATGGACCACCCAGGTAGTTCTCAAAACAGATAGAAGAGCACACCTTGAGAAATCCTAATTTGGGACCACATTTCTTTCTACAAAGTTTCCTTCTTAGGTTTCAAAAATGCTATGCTCCTTGGAGGGCAGCGTATTTAGTAAATGACATGAGTTTATGAAATGCTTTCAACCATCCTCCAGTCCTTCTGTCTAACCATCCATCCATCCTTCCTTCCATCCATCTATCCATCCATCCATCCATCCACCCACCCTTCCATCCTTCCTGGACACCATTTCCATGGCAAGCCATGTTCCAGGCACTGGAGTGATAGAAGGGGGTCCCAGCAGGCACATGAGGGGGCAGCCCTTACTGGTGCTGATGACTCAGAGAGCAAACACCACTATGGGAGGCCCAGGGGTGGGTGAGTCCGCTACAGTTGCACATACTCCTGGCCTTGCCTTAGTGTCTGAGAAGCAGTCCACAGTGACAGAGGGCTCAAGGCAGAATTTGGGCCCCAAGAACACTAGTCATCTCCTCAAGGGATCAAATTCTTTCCCTCTCAGAAAGAAAATGCAATTCATGATCATTGCATGGTGAGACAGAGACAGAGGGATTTGCAAGAAAGAGCAGGATTAGGAAGAGAATGATAGGGGCAGCCACAAAGAGCAAATTCTGTACCTGAGGCTCCTGTAGAAGTCCAGGCGAGGCCTATTAGGAGCCCAGAAGCCACCAGACTTAGAGCCTTCAAAAATTCGATTTCGAATTCTCTTTGAAATGTTTATAATTGGCCACTCATAAAGCCATCACCCAGACGGTCCGGTCTCAGGGCAGTGTCTCAGACAAAGGAACACAATCCGTCCACCTACGTGTAATTTCAAAGTAAGGCAAGCCCGACCCTGACATTCCTGAAACACTCTGAGGGCGATACACAGACCACAGGATGCTTCTTCCTCCTGTCCCAGATGACCAGGTTCTTCTCTGGAATACTGCAGTGGCCTGTCTTTCCAGCACTCCACGGCACCTTTCCCCAGGCCCCTCCCTCTTGAACCTGACCTTCTCTTCCCTCTTTTTTTCTTTCTGATTCTGCTGTACGAAACTCCCCCAGGACTAGCCTGGTTGGCCGGAGAGGGAAGTTGCTGGGTTGTGGAACCCTTAGATTCGTTATCTGAAAAGCAGAGACAAAACTGTGATCTCACAGATTTGTGGGAAAAGTTAAATGAAATATATATAAAACATTTAATAAAGGAATGGGTATCTGGTAGACAATTAACAATTGTCTGTTCCCATAGGGAAAACTCAAATGTGTGTGTATGGTTTAATTTTTTAGAAGAATTTACTATTCCATATAAAATTATTCTATGTCGTATAAAAATGGACTCATCAATTTAGGGGGAATGTTCTCCTAATTTATGGCAAGGAAAACTGAGGAGTAAAGTTACTATTATGCAACCTTTTCTCCCAGAGGATTCCCGTATTGATATTCTAATGAAAATAGTCTCCCAAATTCTGCATTTTTATGTGTCTATGCTAGCATTTATGTTATATTCTGAATTAACAAACATCAAACGCTAAAAATTACATATGCATAAAAATTGGGAAAGGGATACACATCTTTTGTAAATCTCAGTGGAGTACATTCAAACCTCTAGCCCTACCAGATACTCCCAGATTAAACCACATGGTAACTTTGGAATAGGGGAACATTAATGACTACAAAACAATAAGAAGGCTGTTTGGGCATGTGCTAAAAAAAAAAAAAAAAAAAATCTTTAAAGCCAGGCTGTGTCCTTATCATCGGATGCGTCCTAATGAATATCATTCTCCATAAAGAACCTTCTGGCTCACTTACATGCTTTCTGTTTGTTAAAATAGCACTCGAGTCCTTTTATGGCACCCAGAGTTAACACAAACCCCAAACAAAATATAAAGGAAAGAGTGTCAAAAGAACCAACTTTTAAACTCTGTACTTTTTATTATTAGATGCTATTTCTAACTTGTTAAAATTGATCAAATAGAAAGCTGGGAAAAGAGAAAAAATTAAGCCAACTAGAAAAGTGTGACTTGGATTTAATATTTTATAATTGCCAAGGGACATACTGAGATCAATGAATTTTTGCCTGAGATGAACGTCAGAAAGAGATGTACTTCAGTCTTTTAGGGAACATTGGTCTATTTAATTCTTGTGTCTGATGCATGTGAAATAGGCCTGCCTCGGCCTTCTTTCTTTGCCAGGGGCACCGCCGGCAGCGGACATTACCAGTTTTAATAGGCCGCTGTCTGAGGAGTGGCAAGGGATCCGATAACCCATCGACTCTAATGGATCTGCCTGTTTATTCACTTACACCTTTTTTTTTTTTCCCCAGCTAATTTTAGTTTTGCATGCTGAGTTGTTTCGCTTTGAATTAAATGAATAGAAACAAAGGGAAAAGTCTGTGCTGCTAATAAACCATGATCATAATCCCCGGCCCCTCTCAACGGGCTTCTCCACGTCCCAGGTACACAGGAAATCTGTTCTCAGATTCACGGTGGCGATTTCTCCACTTGTTGACGAAATTAGCATTTCATACATGCTCAAATTTAGAGGAAAAATTAGATTATTTAAATCACTTTATGTATAATGTGCTGCTGTTTGCAGTAGATCCAAATGCCCAGCCTCAGGCCCCAGACGTCCTCAGATTTCAGACACCGGTCAGTGACTCTTCTTGCCTGGGGTGGTGAGGGGTCACCCCAGAGCTCTCTCTGCAGGGTCATACGAACAGGACAAATGCTGAAATGCTTTGCTTTGTCTAATAAAAAACCAAAGAGACACAAGGAGGCTCTGGCTAGGTGCCCTTCAACAGAAATAACAGGAGTCAATGGTTTAAAAACAACCTCACCCCAACCTTCTCTTTGTGCCCAGAGAGCTTGAAGAAGGTCCCAGAAACCTTTTAGTTGAAGCCTACCATAGGCTATGAAATGAATAAGAATGTCCAGTATAAGAGGGGGGTGGAGGGACGGGCCAGTGTCTCCTCATTTTGTGAATAAAAGCTATTTTCTGTGGTGGGGCTTAAAATTGACAGAAAGACCTGGTGGGCAGGACCCAGC